TATATGTGCTATTTGTATTTCACTCTCCCACCACATTTGTCTGTTATGTTCATGTGTTATGCACGGTTTGCATTAACAGTACTGACATTCTTCAAAATTATGATTTTGCTCTATCAAAAAATCATCAGAATCTTCTGAATTTCCTGCCTCATTTGTCTCTTTATTTTCTTCTTTGTTTTCTTTAATTTCAATTTCTTTATAATCCTAGTTATGGTGAGAAAATAAATGATAATTTTTTTCCTTTTTGTTCTTCTGTAACTTCAAGAGCCAAGATAGATTTTCCTTGATTTACATTTTCAGTTGATAACATAGATATGACCAGAAACTTTGCCCTAAAAAATGTGAACCAAATGCTCTAAGAGAAATTGAAAAAAAGGAACTACTGGGGGGAAATAAATCATATTTTTGAAGTAAAAAGTACTAATTCATGTTTGTAACTGCTCTTTTATTTTGTTTAGATAAAATGATATTTTCTAAATAAAAAGTTTTTTATTTAGTTGTTTACATTAAATCCTGAAAGAACCTCAAGTAATGATAAACCCCAGCATCATAAATTATCTCTCAAAGAATTTCCACTATTTTGGCGGGAACAGTTTACCTATGTGTATGTTTGTGTAATATTATATTTCAGGACAAGTGCAATCTATAAACAGGGATAGAGAATGTAATCCTATCCTGTTATATCATTTGTTTTTGTCATTGTCATTTTAATACTTAAAAAAAAGAATTCTTATACATGTATCTTTGAAATAGAATATAAAAAATAAGATAAAGACATAATCTTTAGATTATAATTATGTTTTTTGTCAGAATAAAAATATTATCCACCACTCCCCTTTCACACAATTTACAATATAAACTCATCCATAATATGTATGGGGACTCAAATGCTTGGTCATTATTAATAAAAATCTATAAAGACAAAAGTATGGCTAGTCCACCAAAAAAAAACGAAAAAGAACCCCCAAGTTTTAGAATGGAGTTTTCGGGAAGTGATGAAAAGAAGGCAGAAATTCTTGGGAAAATATTGGAAATTAGGAATATAGTGACTCAAAGGTTAAACAAACCTACTGGAAATTTGCAAGTTTTAGAAACTTTATTGGAAATGTGGTCTAGTCAGGGACTAGGGAATGCATCTGATAAACAATCAATGTACCAGATCCAATACCAAGTACCTACATTAAAGCTAGGAAAAAAGATGTGTTTTAATATAATAAAGGAGTCACGGTCCCTCCTTTGCTTTACGTTGTTTTGTCTTTAAGCTTTACAATGATTGTGTATGCATATTTATTTTCATGCCGATCAGTTTCATGTGTTCAGGATTGTGTGATTTTTAAGTGAAAATATCAAAAGTGCATTAAATTTGTAGTTATTGAACATAAATATAAAAAGAAGGAGATGTTATTGTGATTGCCAATGAGACAATTAGCCACTAGAGTTCAAATGAAGTGAATGTAAAAAGCATTTATAGGCAACCATAAGACTTTCAAAAGTGAGAAAAACCCATACCGTTAAGTCGCCTATAAAATGCCCCGATGTGAAAAATGTGAAACAATTAAAACAAGAAAACTAACGGCCTAATTTATAACAAAATAATTTACGAAAAACATCAAAAGATCGATACGAGGTCCAAAAACAACTAAAATAAAAACAATAGACACAAAGCACCGAAATAAGAGAACCCGCAGTTACTACTGAAAGCTAGTTCAAAGCCAGTTACAACTAATAGAAAAATCATGTTCTCCGAGACTACAGTATCAATAAGACCACATCCAACGGATTTAGTGAAACGACGTCATAAACAGTCTGAGAAACGCATGACTTTGTTCAATGCCAAATTATAAGTAAACAAAAATCAGTGCTTGTACCAATAAACAAATATTATGCCGGTAAATGTAGATACGATCCATTTAAACTGATTGATCCTTGAATAAACTTATTCTGTAAGAAAAATTTGATGCCCTGCCATAAAAGGTTAAACATTCTGCCATTAGTTTTAAATATAAAGAAAATCAAAATCCTGATAATATGCACAATCTTTATTTATATATACTAGCACTCTCATTAATATAAAAGTTCAAGCTTGAAAACTGTTGAAAGAGTTAGCTGGACAAACCAATTACCCGCATGCATTATTCTACCAAAAATGGCAAAGTTCAATAACCTGTTATTTGTGGAAAATTTAAAGAAAATCAAAATCCTGACGATATGCACACCTTTAGTATATTCACTAACACCCTACACCCTACATAATATGTCTAGCTTTAAAACCGTAGGTGATGTTAACCGGACAAACCATATACTCTGTAAGCCTTATATTACTAAATAAAATTACAAAGCTCAACAACCCATCTTGTGTCGAAAATATAAATAAAATCCAAATCCTTATAATTTGCACGCCTTTAGTATATGTACTAACATCCCACATACTATAAAGTTTTCGTTTGAAAACTGCAAGAGGATTAAGCCGGTCAAACTATATACCGAATGTGGGACGGGTGGACGGGTGGACGGGCGGACGGGCGGATTGGCGGACAAGGATAAAACAATAACCCCCGACATTTTGTCGCGGGAGCATAAAAGTAAGAGCACTAGGCTTTAATCTAGTAGCGAACAATGTAAAAAGCATAACGGTTTTTTGATGACTTGTTTTGTCAGAATTTTTCTGTCTTATAGGATTTCTGTTTTTCAAAGGTCATACCAAGACTATGTGATGTAAGAGAACAACCCATATATGATGTGATGGAGTCTATTCATTTCAAAATGCTGTATAACACTGTGGTCCTGTTTTAATCATGTTTTGTAGAATAGATAATGTCATCACAATTCTTATTAAAAACGGGATATCACATCCTATTTTTACGTTGATGCTATTTATAAAGTCCGTAAATGTAGATATGATTCATATTAACTCATTGATCCTTCGAATAAACTTATTTCTAAAGATTTTGAAATTAAACAACAAATGACATTTATTCTGTTTTTGGAATTTAAAATTAAACTAAATATATATTGCTATATATGTACACTTATGAGAACTTCATCCTGTGGATACTGTTTATCTATATATATTTGCATTACACAAGGTCATGCGTTTCTCATGCCGGCTTTTTATGACGTCTTTACACTAATTCCGTTGCTATATACTTGTATGTACAGTTAAGAGTACTCATGATCCTACATCATGTCGACACTGTTTACTTATATTTTGGCGTTGCACAAGGTTTATGAAGTCTTTACACTAGACCCGTTGGATATGATTGATTGATGCTTTATTCTTGTTTAACATGATTTATTTGTTAGTTATGATTGGTTTTGAGCTGGTTTTTAGTTTTAAGTTGTTATTGAGGGAGTAAACCTTCATCCAGAAATGCTGTATTTTGTACCAAGTACCATACTCATTACCTAATTGAACAGTTCTTTACGGTATATAAACTTTTTTTCTCTTGCTATGAATAAACAACTCGTAGTATTTACATACTGTATTTGTTCAAACACAAAGATTCGATACTTGAAACTAATGATGCCTGTTACATGCATGTTGTGGATAAACCAAGGAACATTTTTGGTCGTCAATATAAAATCCGTAAGTTTTGTTTGTAGCAAACGGCCAATTATATACTAACCACATTTCGCAGTAAAACGTAGCTATATAATATATAATATCACGAATTATTTGATCCCAAAATTTAAAATTAGTTATTAACAATCAAAATGATTTTCAAAATAAATAAACCTTTTAAAAGTGAAATATGCTAAATAGATTGCAATAATATCCTAACTGGATACATAAAACACTGTATTTTTATGATTGAAAATTAATTTAAACCAAAAAATCGAGAAAAAAAATCTTTTGAATTCTATGTATAATTCATATACATATTTGTTGATATTTTTTTACAGTAGTTTTATTTATTTTTACGATACTTTTATTTTCGAATACTAGTGTTTCTGAAACAAAGACATACATATGATTGAACAAAAATTTGGTAACATATCTCAATAGAGATCTATAGCAGGTTTCCTAGTCTGCTTCAAACCATTACTAGAATGACATTAACATTATATTGATTATGTTATACCTCACGGTACGAAGTAGCAGGGTATATAGTTTCTGATGTAGCAGTTTCAGTCATCTTACGGATGACAAACAAGATATATTATATCAGATTGCAATCTTACTTGGATATGCATGTATGGTATGACAGACAGAAGATCGGATTGATTTTGAAGTCAAGTTCCTAATTACAAAAATAGACCAAACTAAGTACAGGAAAGAAGTTTCCGGATTGTTACTTCTCAATTGTATTACAGTGGATAGGAACCAAACATAAATGTATGGTCACATATCTAGAGTTGAAGTCCTTATTTATTTTTTAGATCACTATGGCCACGGTCAAGGTAATATTTACTGAAATATGAACAGAAAAAGAGTTTCTTGATAATAACTCCAGAACCAATATGCAAAGAAACGCATATATGGTCACATATACCAAAAGTAGAATCCCTATTGCGTTTGAAATCATTGCTTCAAAAGTTTAGGTCATAGTTAAAAAAAAAATAGACTGAAATTATTGCAAAAAAGGGATTCCAAATGATATCCCCATTTGAATATATGGTCAAATATGAAGAGAGGAAGATCCCTACTGATTCTGATGTTAATAAATCAAGGTTATTGTTACAAAATTTAAACCAATTTGAAGGAGGTAAATACTAGTAGTCTCAATTCAAATATACAAACACATTGAATTTCAATTGTTAAGCTTACGGTGTATGTTTCTTCTACATGTTCTATACTATAATGAACAATTGATTAATGTCAACTGATGGCAAGTTTTTTACTGAATTTATTGTGAATTTTATATTTTTTTGATAATTTTATGCAAGTGTTTGTATTTTTGGATGTAACAGTCTTTTTCCTTGGAGTGCCGTCGTATCTATATTTTCTTATGCTTTCCGTCAAAAGTCAAATATGAAAAATAAGTAATTTTCTTTTGCAGTATGGACAAATTCATCTGTGTGTACGTGAACTCGTTCTTGAGAAGTTTGGACAAGAAGCATGGGACAAAATCATGTGAGTAGCACCGTTTTCTGCAAATGTTCACATGAATATTAGATACGTCACCCCGTTTGATGTTCTATGACTATTAGTAAAAAGAGGGAAATACAGCCTTGTCGCACTCCGTCATGTACAAGGAGGAGGACGACTACTATTTTTGATCCCTTCTGGTTCATCGTTTTACCGTATATATTTAAAAGTGAAAGGTGTATATCTTAATAAAGCAATGTGTACAGTACTTTTAAAATCCTATAGATTTTTATTAGAATATTAACCTACTGTTATGATTTGTTGAACAATATGATTTCTACACAATTTGAGCCAAGGCCTAAACAGTCTCCGGGACAAGTTTGCACTTCCGCTGAGTGCAAAAGTTGTCACCTTAATTTTTGGAGTTAAGTCAAAATGAAGTTGATAACTTGGTTGGTATTGGTTTCCTGATATTTGTCCTAAAAAATTTTGGCTTTAGCACCACTGTTGAAAAAGTTATGCCCCTTTTTTCAACAATTTCCTCAGAGGAAAAGTAGTTTTCCTCAAGGGAAATCAAATTTCCCTGAAGGAAAAAGATTTTTCCTTAAGGGAAATTGTATTTTCCTCAAGGGAAAAAGATTTCCCTTAGGGAATTTGCTGCATTAATATTTCCTTTGAGGAAATTCTATTTCCTGTGAGGAAATTTGCGGCTCCAAATTTTCCTTTGAGGAAATTCTATTTCCTCTGAGGAAATTTGAGGCTTCAAATTTTCCTCTGAGGAAATACTTTTTCCTGTGAGGAAATTTGCGGCTTCAAATTTTCCTTTGAGGAAATACTTTTTCCTGTGAGGAAATTTTGTCAACAGCAATTTCCTGTGAGGAAATTTTTGACAAACACTTTTCCTTGAGGGAAAATTCAAGACCACAAATTTCCTCTAAGGAAAACATTGTTCTCCAAATTACCTCTATGGAAATTTCTCTTATTCAATTTTCCTCTATGAAAATTTCATAACAGTAAAAACAGTATGAATATAATTTTTCCTGAGACTGAATAATTGATACAAAAGATAATTAAAACTTTAATAAAATGTTCACTGATGAGTAACATGACATACAAAAACAATAGGCTAGCTGTTTGAGACAATACAATTATAAGCAAAACGCTATGAATATCATACTATTTGTGATGTTATTAATATTGTGCTCATATTTGCTGATTAAATAAAATAACCACTTTTCATGTTAATTTAACTTTTCTGCTGCGTACAATTATTCAATCCCCTACAAAACAGTTCAGTGCATAAATAATTCCATCCACCAGACATCTTCCTTCAATTGGTAGAGAATACATTTTTGCAATTTGTTCTTCAAACATCTTCCTCTATATAGTTGATATGACAGAGCTATGTACATGAATGGATAAAGCAGGTGTTTATTTCGACAAAAAAATACTATTTTTTCTACATTTCTCCCTAATCCTTCAGTGTAGGTTGTTGCAATTACACAATTGTGTTCTTGTGCATCTATGATTGTACTCCATTTTGTTTACAGCCATTTTGTAGAAATTTCCTATTTTCTTTTTCCAGGTAAGCACACATTTCATTTCACATTAATCCAATTAGCACACAATGTAGAGAAAGTATTAACCTTAAGTTTCCTCTTCTGTATTGATCTGTTGATGATCATGAAAACCAAGAAGTCTCTGCACCTGTATAAATACACAAAATATAAATTGAGAAAAAAACAGCAATATGAAATAAGCTTATTTTATCATGTTTAATATGAACATTTTGAGAAACTTAAATTTGATATTCCTACTAATCATGATTATGAGTTCTGTTATTTCAGTGCTTTGTGTCCACGACTTAATATCAGTCGTTTTAGTGCCTTGCAGTGATAATGAGTTGAGCCACTTGCAACAGTTTTTACAGTTTGTTCATATGTTGTGCTATTTGAACCACTGTCCTAGATTATGGTTAGGTGGAGTGCTCACAGACATGATTTTTTTATTACTTGTTATTGGCTTTGAACTAATTTGGATTGTTTAAATCTTTTCATGTTGGGGTCTTTATTGGCTGACTTATAAGGTATGGGTTTTCTCATTATTGAAGGCCGTCATTGGTCTTTAATTGCTTGCATCCACTTCATTGAACTCTGGTGGATAGATAACTCATTTACCATACCACATCTTCTTATTTTTATAATAGTCATCATTCAAGGGCAATCACTTTTATTATATAGAAGTGGTCTTACCATTTAGGCCTTGTTGTCTTCTGTTTATCTTGTTTTGCCGATCATTTCTACTGTACAGTTGTAATTGTTTATATTTTTCTTTATCTTCTATATTTCTTGCCCTAAACTTAAAAAAGGTAAAAACTATAATTTAATGACAGTCACTATAACTATTATTATACATCAGTATGTGTTTTTCTATATACCATGATATAAAAAAGAATGAAATATTTGTGCTATTTCATTTCACAGACTATTTGCCAGTCAACAGTTTCAAAGACATAACCATGATAACCATGGTCAATAGTTTAACAAACAAACATTCCCGTACTTTTTTATCGTGTTCATACTAATTTTTCAATGGACAACAATGACGTGATTAACTATTCTTCTATGATTTGTGTGCTTGACAACATTAAACTCTGAAATATTGTTAACAGTATTTATAATCTGTATGTGTCTGTCGTCAAAATTTCAAATTAATATATTACTTACAGAAGCAATTAAAACAAGAGGCTCACAAAATGAATGTGGTCTAAGAACTTAAAAATTTCTAATTTACCTATTCAAACCGTATCATTATTATTTGCTTTTATATATAAATCAGAAATAACCAATTTAAAATGGAAAATTTTAAAGAAAACAAAAGGAAAAAAAGTAAAAAAAATCCCCCCAAATTTTTTGAACCCCCTTATGATTCATCACCCCCAAACTCAATCCCAGCCTTCCCTATGTGGTACGGTACCTTGCAGTATAATTTCAGAGAGATCCATACACTTGAACACAAAGTTATTGTCTGGAAACAAGAAAAATGCTTGTTTTTTTGGCCCCAAATTCCTAAACGTTTAGGGCAATTACCCCCAAACTCAATCCCAGCTTTCCCCCTGTGATATGGAACCTTGTAGTACAATTTCATAAAGATCCATACACTTACACACAAGTTATTGTCCTAAAACTAGCAAAATGCTTGTTTTTTGCCCCTTTTTTGCCCCTAATTCCTAAAATTTTGAGGCAATTACCCCCAACATCAATCCCAGCCTTCCCTTTGTGGTATGGTACCTTGCAGTACAATTTCAGAGAGATCCATACACTTAAACACAAGTTATTGTCTGGAAACTAGAAAAATGCTTATTTTTGGCCCCTTATTCCTAAACATTTTTGGCAATTACCCCCAAAATCAATTCCAGCTTTCCCTTTGTGATATGGAACCTTGTAGTACAATTTCAGAAAGATCCATACACTTACACACAAGTTATTGTCATGAAACTAGAAAAATGCTTGTTTTTACCCCTTTTTTTTGGCCCCTAATTCCTAAAATTTTGAGGCAATTACCCCAAAATCAATCCCAGCATTCCCTTTGTGATATGGAATCTTGTGGTACAATGTCAGAGAGATCCATACACTAACACACAAGTTATGTCCGGAAGTTACAAAAATGCTTATTTTTGGCCCCTAATTCCTTAACTGTTGGTACCATAACCCCCAAAATCAATCCCAACCTTCCTTTTGTGGTATTGAACCTTAAGGTAAAATTTCATCGAGATCCATTAACTTCAACTAAAGTTAGAGTGTGGAAACCAATGTGTCTTTGGACGACGATGACGCCGCCAACGTCAATTGTCATACCAATATTTTGACCACAAAATAAAAACTGCAGTTTCCTTAAAATTACCAATCTAGTGGCAGCAACCCAACAATGGATTGTTAGATTCATCTGAAAATTTAATGGCTGATAGAACTTGACATAATGAAAAATTTTACCTCACAGAAGATTTGCTCTAAATGCTTTAGTGTTTGAGATATAATCCAAAAACTGCATTTTACCCCCATGTTCTATTTTTAGACATGGCAGCCATGTTTATTGATGAAACAGAAAATAAAAAACAAGCTTTATTCTAAATACCCTAAGGATCATTCAGCCTCAGTTTGGTTGGAATTGGTTCAGTAGTTTCAGAGGAGAAGATTTTTTAAAGTTAGAAAACATGATAAACAAATTGTGTAAAATTGTCGTTAAAGTGCAATAACTCCTTAAGAGGTCCATTGACAATTTTGGTTATAGAAACTTATCTGTAGATCTTACTTTGCTGAACATTTTTGCTGTTTACAGTTTATCTTTATCATTATTAAAGATAATAACCAAAAACTGCAAATATTCTTGAAATTACCAATTAAGTGACAGCAACCCAACAATCATGACAATAGGTTATTACATTCATCAGAAAATTTCAGGGCTGATAGAACTTTGAATACCTAATGAACAATTAACTCTGTGTCAGATTTGCTCTAAATGCTTTGGGTTTTGAGATAAAAGCCAAAAACTGCATTTACCCCTATGTTCTTATTTAGCCATGACAACCATGTAACAAAACACAAACTTTATTGTAAATACCCTAAAGATCATTCAGCTTAAGTTTGGTAGGAATTGGTTCAGTAGAGGAGAAGATGTATGAAATAGTTTACACCCGACGGACGCCAATGGTTGACGAAAAACAACGACAGACGACGACGGACGCCAAGTGATGGCAAAATCGCACTGTTCCTTCGGAACGATGAGCAAAAAGGCAAATTTAAAAAATTGCGCTGGCTCTATCCAAAAGAGATTTTAACAGTGTAGTGTATTACTTTTGGGACAGGACATATTAACATAATAGAAAAATCTATAAGCTATAACTCAAAATATAGACAATTTTATGTTTAAAGGGTCTTTAATTTAGTTTGACAACTTCACAGACATACTAATATTTGACCTTTTCAAACTATACCAAATCACTACTTAGGCCCCAAAAAATATATGTCTGTTTAAGGTTACATTCTTTAAAAAAAAGGCTAGGTAGGTCGGTATTTCCATTTTATTTTATTTTTTCATTTTATTTTTTGTGACATGATTTTGAGTCATGCCGTTTCGTCTTGTCGTGGTCTGAGTTGATCCTTGGCCAATTTTACCCGTTATTTTAATGATTGGATTATTTCCCTTGGTTATAGGTTGGGGAAAAAATGGCGGCAAAGTGTTTATTTCATCACATGAGTCACGAATTTCCTTATAACAGCTGTAATATTCACGATTGTGAACATTGGGATGTATCAGGCAATTGATTTATATTATTGGCAACACAAACTTCATTTTTGACACGAGTTCAGTTAATTTTTGCTTTTACGACGGAAATAAAATGACTTAGGGTCGGCGCTCAAAAGGATGGTCGGTCGGGTAACCGTAAACAGACATATATTTTTGTTTGGCCTTAAGGATGTTCGCTACTCCGTTTCAAAATAACAAGCTTTTTAAAAGAATATGAATAAAGGAACTAAAAAAACAGAAAAAATGAAGGGTCTGTGTGCTTGTTTTTAAGATATAAGCCATTAAAAATTTGGCGGGAAGTGATTCTCTCTAGATTTTTCATACACTTAACACTGGCACCTTTTTCTTTCAAAAGCTATGGAAAAATAACAAGGATTTTATAAGATTTTCAAATATGGCTTTTTAAACTATGTAATAAAAATATGAAAAGAAAAGTAGGGGCTTGCGGGCAAAATTTTTTCATGGCACTGCATGGATAAAACCAGAGGATTCCGAATATCTGGTAAAAATGTTATTCATCCGCAATAAATTTGGAAGTAGTATGAAAATAATTTGCAAGTTATACACTATATCCACACTAGAGACCTAATAGAGTAGAAATACTAATTTTAATCAAACTTGGCATGAACTAAGATTAGAGAATTATAAGACAGTTTACCTAGTTTCATGGCAATAGCATATATACATTAAAGACTATAAGTTTGAACTTTGGGTGTTAATTTTTTGCCGTTTAAAGTTTAACATTTAACTATCAAAATTTGGGCCTACATAATTTAAATATTGCAAAAAATTGCTTTTTAAATGTCTTTATAACTATTTATATATAATTGTGTATGTCACATGTATGTACATAATGTATTTTAATGTAAAGCAGCTCAATACTCATTTGCTGTCTCAGATTTATTTCAATTCTTCAAAAGTCGAATTTATATGAGCCTATGCCTAAAATTAGAGATTTCAAAATTAAGGTGGGGGAAGCTGCTAATATAAAAATTCTTCATGTATATTTAAAAAATTATTTGTATTTCAAAAGGAAAGAAAGTTACTTATCTGCTTATAGCATACCACATGAGTAGAACAAGGTCCCATTAGGCCATGGAAGACTGAATAACATTTAAGGTCAATATATAGGCAGTAACACATTTTTACATGTATATGAAAAGGCATACACATAAGCTAGAGGAAATAAAAAAGTGTTTCTTTTTGGTAATTTGTAGGCTAAGGTGACATCATACAAGAAGTATGAGTGATTCTCAAACTAAAATAAAATAATTTCATCCCCCTACTTCATTGTACTTACTTTTTATGCATAAAAAATATAAATAAATAAATTTTAAAGTAATACATGGTCCACACTAGGAAATCTTTTTGTAAAAAATGAAAATCAATGGATGATAACTGTGTACTTGGACTAACAATTAAGATTTCTCATGCTGAAATGTCTCGTCAGTCCAATCTCAATCAGTGAAATAAACTATTGTTTGGTTTTTTTAAAGTCATATGGAAGTAGTCCAAATAATTATGACGCATTGCAAGGCTTTTTTTTCTCTCTCTGACGCCGTAGGAAGGAGAAGTGAGTTGACATAACATGTATGTTATCATGCAAAATCAACAGTAATGAGTATACCTTTGATTGTCATCGTCACTGCTAATGGATCATTATTACTAGGGGGAATGGAACCAATAAATTGATCGGATCCGATATGAAGTTCCCAGTAACGGAGAACCTCAAACTTTGAGGTAATATTATTAGTGTCGGTGGTCTCACAAATGAATCGGGGTGAATTGCAGGTACATTAATTAGCAGAGAATAGACAATTATCAACTTGTTATTCATTATCTCGCAGTTATTTACGGTTAATTAGCTGTATATATATCCCAAAACAGGTGCTCGGAGCTAGTACTAAGTCTATGACTTTTAAGTAACAATTATATTTATATTCACAATCAGTGGCGGATCGAAGGGGGATGGGATCCGGGGGTTTGATTCCCCTTTTTGTGAACGATCGTTGCATTTAATCAGAGACATATATGTCTCTGATTTAATGGAGACATATATTTCAGTGGCGGATCCAGAACTTTTTGTAAAGGGGGGGGGGGGGGGGGGGGGGCTGACTGATCTAAGGGGGGCCCGCTCCAGTCATGCTTCAGTGATTCACTATATAATCAACCAAATTTTTTCCACCACTGGCCAGGCCCCCCCCCCCCCCCCCCACCTGGATCTGCCTATGTATTAAGACCCCCTTTATCCTGGCTAGAATCGCCCCTGATATTACATGTAAATCAAGTCCCGGGTTAATTACTGTTAGCATAATAGCATTACGGTAATTACAAAGAGTGTGGTAATTTTAAAAAGGACGAGGATTTATAAATATACAATTCTTGAAGAGGGGGAGAGTGCACTTCACGATGATCGAAAAAAAGTGCCTTGCATGTTATTTTCATCATCTTGTCTGAAACAGTCTGAATAATGAGCTTCAAGGCGAAGCGTGAAAATAAGTCATGTGAAATACTAACGTTGTACGGACAAACCCTTAAATCCCTCAATGTTATGTCAAATGAATTATAGCGAGGAAAAGTAAATTTAATTTAATATCAAAACTAAATATTTGTTATATTTCGCTCCTGATTTCTCAGAAATCATAGAATCAATCAATGTATAAATTTCAATTATGCATGTCTGTGTGAGATCCATTTCATGAGACCAAGGATTTCTATAAAATCCTTGATGGGACCCTTTATATATATATGTCTCTGATACAGTTTTCTATTTTCCCCGGAAAAAATTTAAAAAATATATAATCTTTTGGGAAATAATCCGATTTTGTTGAATTATTTCCTTTCATAATTATGATAAATCCGTTTAGTTCTTCAATTTTAAATTAAAATAAATATTTCATTTTGATCTAACGACAAACTTTTTAAATTGTAGTGGCATGGTCAGTCAACTGATTAGTTGCATGGCTGATTACCAGTTTACTGGTGATTCAGTAATTTTCCATATGACGGTGGCGTGTACCCTTGGGGTGTGTATAACTTATTTTGAATACCTTAATTTTCTGGGGAACATCCTGTCCACGTGTAATACTTAGTATATATTGCAACAGATGACATTAAACAAATTTTCTTTGTAGCATCGGTGTCCATTTCATGTTCAACCACTCAAAATTTTCACAAAAAAGATAATATAATAAAATCATTAAAAAAAAAGATTAAAAAAACACTAGGAAATAAACTTCGCAATGAGTAAACGGGGATTTGTGTTTTAAAGGGCTTATTTCCAGTGAATATATTTTATACTAGATAACTAGACCTGAGATAACTTTTTTTTTTGTAATATATATTTTATTATTTTCATATCATTCTCAAATCTCAATCATCTTAAATAAAGATAATAATTTTGTTATAACTCATAAATATTTGGTTAATCATAATTGTTACAAATTATAAAATGGTAAGTCAATGCCCGATGTGCCGCCGTCTGTTGCAAAACAACGATTTAATCTTTTAAATGAAAGACGTGCACTGCCTTCATCGGAATAGAGGAAAGTCCACCTAGTGTACATTAAAGAGTATCCGTTTGTTATGCTGAAAAAAAAGAGATCATCATAAACTTTTTAGCAGACCTTCTCGTGTATAAAAAACAAACTTTTAACTGAATTAAAAAAAAATTACCAAACAAAACTCATTAGAAAACTCATAGTAACATTTTTTTAGTATAATAGTCCCAGCTATAATGTACAAAATTTTTAACAGCTTCAAATATATGGCCTTATCATTGGTAATATATCATATTTGTATCAGTTATTGCTGAACGTGTAACCAAATTAAAATGAAGAAATAGGCGCGAAATCGCATTTTTTAAAGATATTTTTGTCAATCCCAAAATAGATAATAGATATGCAGATTAATTAAAGTCCCGATGAGAAGATTCACTTTCTTTTCTACCGAAGTAAATATATTAACACAGATTTAGGATATCAATAAATTATTAAATTCATCAATTTATTAAATTTGAACATGTGAACCAAACAACGAAAAAAAATAAACGGGAAATTGGCTATACCTTTTTGGTATTAGCCATGAAGCCATGTATGTACCAGCCATTTTAACTTATTGTTTTCTTAACCTTTAAAGAATACATTTTAAAATGAACTACTTTATTTATAGTAGTTCAAGAAAAATATATATATATATTAAAAAGTTTTAAATTTTGTCCATGCTGTGCATAAAATAGGGGAAAAAAATAAGGCTGAAAATGCACCAAATATTTATATTCAATATGAATATTCACATTTTGTCTATTACAACAATTTTTGAACAACTTGTTGTTGTAATAGACAAAATGTGAATATTCATATTGAATATAAATATTTGGTGCATTTTCAGTCTTATTTTTTTCCTATATATATTATATGGCCTTCCAAATACCGTTTCGATCCCTAACATCACTGAAGAGACATTAAATGTCGAAATCCGGATATGGTGTACAAATTTTTGCACCTCATGTTTGCGGTATACTATCTTTTCCGTAAGTTTATTGTTTTCTGTTTGGTATTTAATTAATATGTAAGATCCATTTTTTACATCTGGTGATCAATTTATTTGGCAATAGCCAATGGCAGTCAGCAGGGTTTAAGAACATCAGTTGTTCGACCTGTTAGTCAAATGCGTTTTGTTAAAATATACTTTTTCACTTTTTGGTCTTTGGAAAATGTTGTTTGTGCTGTATTTTGACCCCTCTACCAAGAAATTTGTTTTACATGCACACGTATAAGAATTGCGGTTTTTATCCAACGCAATCATAGGTTTGAACGTTGTTTTCAATTTAGACGTGTATATACATATATATTTATATACATATATATTAGATAACTCTTTCCTTTATATTCAATGGAACAAGAAGCGAATTCGTTAGCGAACTAGAGTAACTATAGAAATAGCGTCGTTACAGGTCTTCTTCTGACCGGCAATAAATCATTAGCAGTAATGATAGTGGAACGTCCATTGGGTTGCGCTCAGACACGTCCGAATGGGGACGCTGAATCCTTGCAACAACTCTTCAAGTGGACTATAAGTAGCCTGGTATTAGGCCAATTTTCTGTCCATCCTTTTTCGTTGGCTGTCGAAATTTTCCGACCGTATCACGGGCGGTCTCAATTACAAGACCTACATGTACCTATCATATATTATTCGGTACGTCAGACACACCCGACATTAATCAACCAAAAACTCAATATTTTACAGTAGGGAATGAATATCTCCAGATGAAGATTACATTATGACGTATGTTTTTTTTTAAAGACCAACAAATCGATTTTTATCACCAAATTTGTCTTTGCTGAGATTAACACTAAAAAAGTATAACAAAACGTAACGATTGAAAACTCACAGTTCAGTTTTTAAGATATTTTTTTCTTTGGAAACTAACAGACTTATTTTCAAAATGTTTTTTTCTTGAACCATTATTTATGAAAACGAATTGTAAACAAAGGTTATTCTCAAATATTAATAATGATCAATGATTGTAAAGAAAAAAATCCATCATAGTAGTTTGTTAATTTACTGGCTCCATGGTGTTAAACATGTTACCTTTCTTTTACAAATAACTGATTAAAAATATGAAGCCTTTACTGTAAAATAAATCATTCTAATAAAAATTAAATTCATCCAGATTTTTCTCTCATAACCTTTCAACAGTTATTGTAAACTAATTTATTAGAACTATAATAGTCCTATGACTTGCTGTCCGTTTACCAATATTTATACTTTATAAAATGTTTTCATATTCATTGATCATTAACTTCATGTTTTGCGAATACTTATAAGGGGGTAATTATTATAGTCAGTAATAGCTAACAATTTATCTAAAGAAAACGAGATGCTATATTCAAATTCTGAGATATGAATCTATTTCTTTAAAAAAAAAATTCTCCACAACAAAAATTCTACACTTTTATTTATCTGGGTCTTTTCGTCTCCGCTTCGAAGCCGCCATCCCGTACCAGACATATTTATTCGTTTGGCAATATACAATCATGTAAGCAATATACAACAGGCAGTAGATCTGAATTTGTAAATTGTTATTTTGGATTTTACCTGATTAGGACGAATCTCGTTGAATTTTCTAATAAACTTACACACACATAATCTGACTTTTAATCGTAATGTTATGAGATCTATAAGAACATAGAGCTACTGTATAGGCCTAGTTGCATGCAAGTCTTTACAAATTATATATTTTGGTATGCTATAGTTGTTTTTATAGACTATTTGTCATTTGGTCGTTTTTTTTGTTGTTGTTGTTTTTTTAGTTTTTGACATGGCGTTGACTCGAGTTTGATATATTATGCATCTTTTGTGCTGTATTTTAACAATTATTTACTGCAAGCATGCTGCATGTTTACACATTCATCACTC